GAGAGAGAGAGAGAGAGAGAGAGAGAGAGAGAGAGAGAGAGAGAGAGAGAGAGAGTTTGAAAAAGGAAAATCAGAAGAAAAGAAAAAAAATTACAGAGCGGGTTGAGGACAGAAATGAGCACAGGGTGAGCAGAGTGGCGGCTGACCACAGCAAGCAGGCGGCCTCCACACTCCTTCACCACAGCCCATGTATGTCTGAATGTGCACCTATAATCAAACGGTTCCATGGGTTCCTGAAAATTTGGCAACATTAGAGCCCATGCCACATGTCCCACAAGCAAGTAGACACAAAGAAGAGCCTTGACCTACACACACATACTGTATACTTACTATGCAGGACAAGGCTGTGTGTTGCAGAGATGAGAGCCCAGTGTGGGCTTGYTGAGGGGATTACACAGGCTGGAGTTGACCTGGGCTTTTTGGTCCTGTAGACAAATAGTCTTTGTTGAAATGCGACCTGGTGGATAGAGGCAAAGAGGGGAAAAAACAGGTTGATGTATACTGTATTTGGAGAATTTAACTCTTTATCACATTTATCTGGGATGTTTTCTTCGTTAGTGATGCAAAGTCAGGCTCTTCAGCAGCTACTGGTTTGTGAACAAAATATAGAAGGAACGTTGTTCTTGAACTGCAAAAGCAGTTCTTAAAAGCACCACTGTATTAGCACTGAAGCCCTTAATTCCTATCCCATCATTATTTTTCAATTCATGTCACATTTGCTGATTCACTTCTCCTCCYTCAGCATTAGAAAAACCTCAGACAAACAAATTACATCAGAAAGTCTGGCTCAAAAGAAAAAAAAATGCTGAGAATTTTGGATGCAAACTGTATATGGTTTAACCAGAATCTAAAAAAAATGCAAGAAAATAATTGTCACAAACAATAGGATAATGGAGTGATAAAGCTCATTACCCAAATATTTCACTGTAGAAACATTAAAGTTCATACTGTTCACAACAAGTTGAACTTTACATGGATGAATTGGTACTTTATATTTATCACACACAATCACAGTTTGTTTTATAATAAATAGAGATTGTATCACAGAATATTTAAGTTAAGCAGTGTAGGTATCACATACAGTATAACTTTTGAGCTATCTTAACTTTCCTAATTTTTATATGTTTTATGCCAACAAACATTTCACTTCTTATAGTCTATACATCAAAACAAAGACATTTGTGGTTTTTCACCCATCATGTGTCTTATAGCTGAAGCTTTTATGGTTTTGTGTACAACCAAGCTCTCACAGACTTCCAGAGTATGATCCCAGAAAACTGTAAGTAAATGTTTTTGTAATATA